CTGAATCTCTTAAAAATATATATTATACATTCTTACACTAGTTAAGAACTTAAGGGGCACCTGGGTGGCTCAGTTAAGCAACCAGCTTTTGGTTTCAGTTCAGGTCACGATCTAAGGGTTGTGGGATTGAGCCTTGTGTCAGACTCCTCTCTGGGTGTGGAGACTGCTTGGGATTCTCTCTCCCCCCTCCCCCCCTTACCAGCTCCCACTTGTGCACAAGCACACCAGTGCATTCTCAAAAAAAAAAAAAAAAAAGAAAAAAGAAAAGAAAGAAAAATTAAGTAATAGTATTACACTGTCACTCCAAGCTAAAGCATTTCAAAAACTTTCTTACATTTTTTTCTACAAAAACACTGAAATAATACTAAGAGCTTTCCTAAACCAAGCATCAAATCTGGCCAATTCACGATTGTACTCTTAGCCTAGCCCACATTAAGGGGTAGATTAATTTTTGCTATATAAATTTAATTACTCATTTAATTAATTAGTTAAATAAGCCCCACAATCTACTGCATTTTCAAGTTTTAATCATTCCAGTGCTTGATAAAGAAAGCACATATTACCAACACATAGGAAAAAAAAAAAATGAATGTGAGGGGTGCCTCGGTGGCTCAGTGGGTTAAGGCCTCCGCCTTCAGCTCAGGTCATGATCCCAGGGTCCTGGGATCGAGCCCCACATCAGGCTCTCTGCTCAGCAGGGAGCCTGCTTACCCCCTCTCTCTCTGCCTGCCTCTCTGTCTACTTGTGATCTCTGTCAAATAAATAAATTAAATCTTAAAAAAAAAATGAATGTGTGATTCTTGTCTTACTCGCTACTGCGCTAAACCAGCTGGAATACAATCAACAGTTAGCTGCAAGTCTCTTTAGGTATCAGCTTAAATTCCAAGACCGATATTCTTATATTTTAATAAAAAATCTTTGTAATGGAAATGGAAAACCATACATAATAATGTACTGGACAAGTTAAAAATTGCCAAATTCTTGATCTGTATCAAAAATCTTTTTAAGGTTTCTTTATTTTATCTAGGAGATTTGAACAAAAACATGCAATGTGATGATACAAAGGGATTACTGGAAACTGTGTTACATATGATACAGCCCTGTGTTTTTAAAAGTTCATATTTACATTCTTAAGAATATAAGGATGAAATGACACAGAATCTGAAATCTGTCTCAAAATCCTTAAGTAGGGGCACCTTAAGTAGGGCTCAGTTAAGCATCTACCTTCAGCTCAGCTCATGATCCCAGGGTTCTGGGATCGCGCCCCAAGTTGGGCTCTCCACTGAGTGGGGAGTCTGCTCGTTCCTCTCCTCCCCACTCGTGCTCCCTCTGGCTATTGCAGTCTCTCTCTCTCTCTCTTTCATATAAATAAGTAAAATCTTTTAAAAAAATACATAAGCAAAGAAAGAATGAAAACTATAAAAGAAGCAAGTATAGCAAAATCTGGATCACTGCTGAATCTGGAAGATGACTATATGAGGAATTATTATTCCATTCTATTTTTATGTGTATTAGAAAATCATTTTAGGAATTTTTAAAGAATGGTCACCAAGAAAATGAAGATAAAAATAACATAATAACAAAAAGATAACAAAATCTCAACATTTGAAAACTACTAAGATATGTCTCAATAATCCATGAGTCAAAAAAAAATCAAATTTGAAACTTAAAAGCTTCTTGAACTGAATGAAAATCTATCTTTGATGCAATTAACAATAAACAGTCATAAAATTATGAAAACATCTCCACTTACAGCAGCATCAAAAAAAATATGAAAGAATTAATCAAAAGCAAAAGATTTATACATGAAAACTACGAAAAATTGCTGAAAAAAATTAAAGAAGAGAAAAATAAATGGAAATATATCTCATGTCCATGAATCAGAAGACTGAATATTGTTAAGATGTCAATATTACCCAAAGTAATCTAGAAATTCAATGTAACCCCTGTCAAAATCTCAAGTGACATTTTTTGCAGAAATAGAAAAAACAATCTTGAAAAAGAACAGAGCTAAAACACTCACAATTTCCTGATTTCAAAATTTACTAAAAAGTTCTGATAAAACAGTGTGTTGGGGCACGTGGGTGGCTCAGTCTGTTAAGGCTGACTCTTGATTTTGGCTTGGGTCATGATCTCAGGGTCATGAGACTGAGTCCCCTGTTGAGCTCTGTGCTAGGTGTGGAGCCTGCTTAAGATTCTCTCTCTCCCTCTGTCTCTGGCCCTAGGCCCTGTCTCCTTTAAAAAAAAAAAAAAAAAAAAAAAAAAAAAGGTGTAGTAGTGGCAATACAAAAAGATATATAGGTAAATGCAGCAGAGAAGAAAAGAGAACCCAGACATAAACCCTTGCACCCTTGCATATACGGTCAAATGACCTTTGACAGGAACGGTGATACCATTCAAAAGGGAAAGGAGTTTTTCAAGAAGTGATGATGCGGATACTGCATATCCACATGAAAAAAAGAATGAAGTGGGTGGGATCCTTACCTAAAACCATACACAAAAATTAACTCAAAATGGATCAAAAAGTTAAATCTAAACCACAAAACTATAAAACTCTTTTCATGACTTAGGATTGGATACTGATTCCTGAGATATGACATCAAAAGCATAGGCAACAAAAGAAAAACAAATTAGACATCATGAAAATTATAAAATTCCGTGAATCAATAGACAATATCAACAAAGTAGAAGAGAACCCACAGAATAAGAGAAAATATGTACAAATCTGATAAGAGACTAATAACCAGAATACACACAGAACTACTGAAACACAACAACAACAAAATTCAAAACTGGGTAAAGACTTCAATGGAAATTTCTCTGTGCCAATAAGCACAGAAACAATGCACATCACTAATCATTATGGAAATACAAAGCAAATCTAAGAGCTACCAACCACCTCACACCTGTTAGGATGGTGACTATCAAAAACAGGGAAAATAAGTGCTGGCAAGAATGTGGAGAAACTGGAAGCCTTATGCACTGCTGGTGGAATTTTAAAATGCACAGTATGGCAGCTCATCAAAAAGTTGGAAATAGAGGGGTGCCTGGGTGGCTCAGTGGGTTAAAGCCTCTGCCTTCGGCTCAGATCAGGATCCCAGGGTCCTGGGATTGAGCCCCACATCAGGCTCTCTGCTCAGCAGGGAGCCTGCTTCCCCCTCTCTCTCTGCTGACTCTCTGCCTACTTGCGATTTCGAGCTCTCTCTCTGTCAAATAAATAAATAAAATCTTTAGAAAAAAAAAAAAAGTTAGAAATAGAATTACCATATAATCCAGCAATGCCATATCTGGGGATATGCCTAAAAGAACTGAAATCAAGGTCTTGAAGAGGTATCTGTTCACTCATATTCATAGCAATATTAGTCAGAACAGTTAAAAAACTCAGAAGCAACATATGTGTCCATCATCAAACAGATAAGCAAAATGTGGCATAAACATACATACAAGGGAGTGTTATTGAGACTTAAAAAGAAAATTCTGATATATGCTACAACATGGACAAAAACTGACAACATTTTCCTAAGTGAAATAAGCCAGTCACACAAAAAACCAATACTGTGTGATTTCACATATATGAGATACTCAGAGTAGTCAAAATAATAGAGAAATAAAGTAGATGGGTGGTTGCCAGGATTCGGGGAGGAGGGGAATAAAGAGTTACTGTTTATGGGGCGCCTGGGTGGCTCAGTGGGTTAAGCCGCTGCCTTCAGCTCAGGTCATGATCTCAGGGTCCTGGGATCGAGCCCCGCATCGGGCTCTCTGCTCGGCGGGGAGCCTGCTTCCTCCTCTCTCTCTGCCTGCCTCTCTGCCTACTTGTGATCTCTGGCTGTCAAATAAATAAATAAAATCTTTTAAAAAAAAAAAAAAGAGTTACTGTTTAACAGGTATTGATTTTCAGTTTTACAAAATGTCAAGTGTTAAAGACAGACACTGGTGACACTTGCAGCATTATTAAGAAGGTATTTATTAAATACCACTGAACAGTACAATGGTTAAGTTAATGTATTTCATGTTACATGTATTTTATCATAATAAAACCAAAATTTAGAAAAAAGAAAAAATACCACATCAAAATTCATGGGATGCAGCTGATGCAGGGCACAGAGAGAAATTTAAAGCATAAATTATATTAGAGAAGCAAATTTTCAACTCAATCACTTTAGTTTCTACCTTAAGATAAAGCAAAGATAAGATCTACCAAAGATAAGAGGCAAATTAAGCCTAAAGAAAGCAGGAAAAAAATAAAGTTAAAGCAGAAATCAATGAAACAGAAAAATACAGAGTATCAATAAATTAAGAGCTACCAATTTGAAAAGACAAATAAAATTGATAAACTTCTAGACGAGACTATTAAGGAAAGAAAAATAAAGGGAAACAAGTTTCCAATATCAGGGACAAGAAAGGGAACATCATTAGAAAATCTAAAGACATAAAAGGATAATAAAGGAATACTACAAACACATGATAAATTCAACAACCTAGGTGAAATGGACAAATTCTTTTAAAGACACAAATTAAAAACAATGTTCAATCAAGAAAAAATCAATAACCTGATTAATCTTATACTGCTTTTAAAAATTTAATTTGTACTCAAAACTCTTCCCTCAAAGAAAACTCAAGGCCAAGATAGTTTCACTGGAGAATTCTACAAAATATATAAAGAAGAAATAATACCAATTCTTCACAAACTGTTGTAGAAAACTGAAGATGAGGGAGCCCTTATGAGAAGAGCATACATACCCTGTCACCAAAACCAGACAAAACCATTATAAAAACACAAACTGAAACCCAATGAGGTGAATACTATTAACCATTCCATTTTAAAGATGAAGACATTGAGGACTAAAGAGATTCAGGAACTTGCCCAAGACCACAGAACTAAAACTGACAGGCAACCTGACTTCAGAACACAGACTCTTAACTAGAACAATGAAACTGTCAAATTAAATTTTAGATACTCTTGCAAAAGTAAATAGTAAAGGGTGCTGCCCAATACTTACCTAGAGACTATGCTGGAACCATTATACAGATCACTAGCATATGACAATGTAGCCAAAGGTCGTACTGAATTGTATCGAGTAAACTTAGACAAGCATTCCTGAAATTCATCCAACTGGCTTGCAGTTCTACTATCATCTACACAAAGAAAACAAAACAAAATAAATGGAATTGCGATGTAAGTCAAAAAGCAGTATACACAGATTAAAACTTATATTCTAAATACAAACAATTCTTAAGTATTTTTTTAAGATTTTATTTATTTATTTGACAGAGAGAGAGAGATCACAAGTCAGCAGAGAAGCAGGTGGGGCGGGGGGTGGGGGAGGGAAGCAGGCCCCCTGCTGAGGCTTAACCCACTGAGCCACCCCAGGCATCCCATTTCTTAAGTATTTAGAAAACACTAGTATGCACATATTATTCAGGTGATCTTTCAGCTTTAATAATTTTTTAGTTGTTCATTGAAAGACACTGTCTCTTTCAACACCAATAAAAACATACTATAGTTTATGTTTTAAGCAATAATTTCTTAGAAAAATAAAAAAGTACCTCTGATCAAGAGAAATTTAATCTTTTATTAAAATAAAAATTCTTTAAAATGGAGAAAGTGGAGATGGACAGGAGTACATACACTAAGCACATTTGTTATTTTGAAGGAACACATTTACAGAGATACTTCTGCATGCCCACATTTATTTACTATCAAAACACAATTTATGGGGCGCCTGGGTGGCTCAGTGGGTTAAGCCGCTGCCTTCGGCTCGGGTCATGATCTCAAGGTCCTGGGATCGAGTCCCGCATCAGGCTCTCTGCTCAGCAGGGAGCCTGCTTCCCTCTCTCTCTCTCTCTTTCTCTTTCTCTGCCTGCCTCTCCATCTACTTGTGATCTCTCTCTGTCAAAAAAAAAAAAACCCACAATTTATAACATAATTTAGATTAAGAAAGCAACTTTTTTAAGTAAAAATAAAGTGAAATACTTGTTCACATTATACTTTAATATTTCTCAAATCCAATTCTGAAAAGGGAGTGGAAAACTGCAATATATCAATTATTCTCAAAAATAAACAAAATGCTTCTACTCAAATGTCTTGGTAGAATATGGAAAATTCCATCCACTAGAACACTGTATAAATACTGAGTAAAGTCCATTTCAGTAAACTATTCATAATGAAGTTTTGTGGAATTTAAATCATAAAATCATCTCATATAAGACTGGGATTAAATACAGCTATCCATTCTCTAATCTAGAAACAAGACTACAGAGAAAACATGAATAAGAAATCATTGCTTTTCAAAACTGCTTTACATTTGGACTTGTATTTTCCTTTCCAAAGAAAGAAAAGTAAAACACCCAATTTAGTTAGCTTCCTAACTAAAATTTGAAGTAAGATTGTTACAACACTGTTTTTATACCTTTCTCCTTACTTTTAGCTCATACACATACAGACACATACAATTTTTTCAAGGTAAACTTTTTCGTGATTCCCCTGCTTTTTAAAGATTTATTTGAGAGAGAAAAAGAGAACACGTGTGCATTGGCCCATGAGAAGAGGAAGAAAGAAAGAGAGAGAGGAAGCAGACTCCCTGATGAGCAGGAAGTCTAATGTGGTGCTCCGTCTCACAACCCTGAGATAACCTGAGCCAAAACCCAAGAGTTGGACACTTAACCAAATGAGCCACCCAGGTGCCCCATAATTTCCCGTTCTTAAATGTCCTCTAAATAAGTAGGCATAATGAAATTCAGATATAAGGATCATTATGTCTGGGGTACCTGATGGCTCAATTGGCTAAGCATCTGCCCTCGGCTCAGGTCACAATCCGGGAATCCCAGGATCAAGCCCCCTGTAAGGCTCCCCATGTCAGACTCTTCGGGAAGTCTGCTTCTCCCTCTGCTCCCTACCCAGCTCGGCTCGTGCTCTCTCTTTCTCAAATAAATAATAAATAAAATCTTAAAAAATAAGTCATTACATTTACAGAGTTAAGGTACCAAGGATAGAGAGTAAAGAATTTATTTAGTTCATCTGGAGATATTAGGTTATCTTGAAGATAACTACTGACATAAACTTATCTAACACTTATTACAATGAAAAACAATAGCTAGTCTCTGATACTAAGCTTCTGTCTCCAATATTTTACATTTTAAAGGTTTAAACACTAACAGCAAATTCATCCAATAACCTATATCAAAGGTTCCAATTTTATAGTGTTTCCATTCTAAAAACAAAAAGCAAACCCAATTAGCATGCACTGTCATAATGTTACTTAAATAATGCTCCTCCTCCATAAAAATTATTCTCAGTAAATTCAACAAACTGGAAATACATCATGGGTTACTGCAGTAAAACAAATCAACTTTACTACAAAGTGGTTTGAATGTAACAACTAATTGAATCTTTTTACACATAATCCTGTTAACTGAGTACTTCATGTAATAAATAGTGACTGCAAAGACACCTTAGATATTTGTTTATGTATTAATTTAATGTAAATCTATTCTTTCATATTTTGACACCAATCCCTAAGGACAAAAAATTCACAAGCATTCAAAAGAATGTATATTCTGTTGAAGACCATAATCTTTTCCTGGGTAGCTAAACTTTCCTGGTCATCTACCTATTCATTAACACCTACTTCCAACAGAAGTTATAAAGAAAACACTAAAAATGGTTATTTTAGTATCTGAAAGTAGAAGGATTCAATTTTCATGGTTATGAAAATGTAGGATTTTGTTTGGTTGGTAGATTTATGGTTAATAATCACATATATCTGCAAGCATATTATTTTTCCTATTCCAATGACAGATTAGTTTGTGAAAGTGTGTTTGGCATTTCTTTTCTCTCTTCTAATGCTTTATAATTTACCTTCTCTTCCAATTACAACTAAGAGTTCAGAGCATTAATCTCTTAAGCTTCACCTCTCATTTTCAGAGTTGAAAACTGAAAGTCAGAAAGAGGGGATGAATTCTCATTTAAAAATATACAGAAGGAAAAACACTATGTACTCCATTAGGTAGAAGTTAAAATTTCCTCTTCAGAGTTAAGGACAATAGGAGGACCTTCATATCCAGCAATACGGTAAGTGTAGTCAATGTGAAAGTTCAGTAAGACAAACTTGAGACTCCTAAAAACTAAGGACAAATGTTTTAAGTACAATATAGCCCTGCCCACAAAAATGAAACTTAATCTTCCTCCTGATTTTAATTTATCCCACCTTCCAGTAATCTTACATCCCCAAAATAAATTGGTCTGTGACTACAGCTTTACTCTGCCACAGCATGCCTATGCTGCTAGTTACTTAGAAATTATTCCCCAATCTCTCTTTCCTACCATGCTTTTTTTAAATGTCTGCCATTTGCCTATGGATGTATTTCAAAATCATACCAACAAATAACATCTAACAGGGTTAACGTGAACCTTCTGCCAATCAGATTCTAAGTCTCAAACCATTTTCAATTTCACAGCTTTCTACTCCACTTTGCAGACTATTAGAGGCTCAGTAAGGGGCTCAATTCCCAGGCAACACAATGAAAGTTTTCCATCTTATAAAAACTGTTAATCATTAATTTCATATACATTTATAAACAAAGCTTGGCTCCCTCACAGGAAAAATGGTATGTAAACCTCCTTTTTCCTCCACCACCAATCCCGATGCAAATTTTTCCAAAGGTCCTAAGCAATGTATAGATTTTATATTTTTTTCCTTCCAATTTTTATTTAAACTCTAGTCACTCAGCACACAGTGCAATACTAGTTTCAGGAGTATTCAGTGATTCATCACTTACATATGACACCTAGTGCTCATCATAAGAATTGTGCTCCTTCATCAGGCTCTCTGCTCAGCAGGGAGCCTGCTTCCTCCTCTCTCTCTGCCTGCCTCTCTGCCTACTTGTGATCTCTGTCTGTCAAATAAATAAATAAAATCTTAAAAAAAAAAAAAAGAAAGAAAGAAAGAATTGTGCTCCTTAATACTCCTTAATACCCTTAATACCCATCTAGCCCATCCCCCACTCATCTCCCTCCATCACCCCTCAGTTTATTCTCTATCTCTTATGGTTTGTTTTCTCTCTTTTTACCCCCTTCCCATATGTTCTTCTGTTTTGTTTCTTCAATTCCACATGAGTGAAATCATATGGTATTTGCCTTCCTCTGACTTATTTCACTTAGCATAATACATACTAGCTCTGTCCACATCATTGTGAATTGCCAAGATTTCATTCTTTTTGATGGCTAATATTTTATAGTGAATATATACCACATCTTCTTTATCCATTCATAACTCAATGGACATCTGGGCTCTTTCCATAGTTTGGCTATTGTTAGTAATACTGCTATAAACATCAGGATGCACGTAGGCCCCTTTGAATCTGTATTTTTGTTATCCTTTGAGTAAATACCTAATAGTGCAATTGCTAGAACATAGGGTAGTTCTGTTGTTGACATTTTGAGAAACCTCCATACTGTTTTCCAGAGTGGCTACAAATGTTTGCATTCCCGCCAATGTGCAAGAGGGTTCCCCTTTCTCCACATCCTTGCCAACAACCGTTGTTTCTTGCGTTCTTAATTTTAACAATGTGTACATTTTAATATAAACATGCCTATTCAAGAAAAAACTAAGGACAAATTTTAACATCTAATAAAATATCACTCTTCTTTTTTCTTGGTGGTCTTCATTTTGAGCAGGTGTATTATTAATGACATGAGTTAATTGAGCACCTAACTTATACCAAGCATTATATTTTATAGTATATGTGCTGCCGAAGCAAACAATATTTTATATTTTATAGATATATTTATATCACCTATAAATCCTAAAAAACAAAACAGAACATGGGGTTGGTATTAATGTCCCTACTTCATTGGTGAGCAAAGACACTGAGAAAGTTACAGCTCAACGGGCAGAACTATAGTAATGCAATGAAAATATCCAATGTTATCATGTCCATGACATTGCATAAGTTATTTCCTGTATTTGAAGAAGTTTCTAATTAACTTAGTTAACGAATTCTAGCCTTGATGAAATATAATCCTCTGAAATGCCTACAGTGATCATTCCCTTACATTTCCCCATTTTCAACTTGGTGAGGATCTCTCATTCCTAGCTGTATTAGTGGATATTCTTCTCTATTCCCCTAATACACTTATACAACATATAATATCACATACCTGTTGCTTTCCGCCACTGAATTTATAAAACTCCCTAATAAGAGAAATCGGTTCTTTCACCTTTTTATTCTTAGCAGAAAGGACAGTGCTTAGAACTTAATAAATGTTTAATATTTAATAATAAGAGGCAATTGAATGGAACTTACTTTTCCTAGCAACATATTCATGGTTGATTTTTTTTCTTAACTTTATATAGCTCACTTCACAAAGATTAAAAATCCCCAAATAGAGGGAAAAAACAAAAATAGCTATGGGAAAGCAATGTTCTTCAAGATCGCCAAGAACCTCCACAACATTCTGGTAGAATATGTCAAAAATACACACTTTTGCTCTATAAATAGGACGTTATATAAATTCAGCATAAGAAGCTAGAAATGGATCTGACATAAGAATCTGATGTATTTTTAGAAGTCTGGAATATGTACCTGAAATACGAGACATCCTTGTAGAAAAGTAACATTGCTCTAAGTCTTCAAAATGAGCAGTGAGTCGTTTTCTTCTTGATGCTAATGTGCTGTTATACCAAGGCTGTTTCTTTGTCTAAAGTAGTAACAAGAAAAGATACTTGTAACTTAGGACAAATGATAGTCTTTTTCTGCACAGAATATCTAAATGATTGCATATTCAAAATATCAACATATTAAAATAACTACAAATGGTAAATATTCATAGTTCTTACCATATTTTTCCATTTTTATTTTAAAATGCAAATAGGCTAAGGGTTTGAAGGAGCTGGGGGCCAGCTCTAGTCCCAGAGCCCAAGGCTCCTGGGGAAGCCTGGTTGTAATGTAAGGGAAGGCGGAAATCTATCAACATACATCAGGTTATACGGAGGTGCACAGGTAGGGGAGGATGAGATGGACCAAAGGCCAGAGGGGAGAGGCTTCTGGGGATAGTGAAATGCCTGAGAATGGGGCCCCATCAGGGAGAAGGAAGAAGCAGCCCAGTGGGGGCAAGTGCTGAGTCCTAGCTGGGCTAGGCCCCTGGTTGGTACAATATAGTTTGCTCTAAAACGCTAATCTTCCAGCAAAATAAATAAATAAATAAATAAATATGCAAATAGGCTCTCAAGGCCAATTTTATAAGAATGAAATAAGAAGCTTCTTTCAATTCTCTAAATTAAATTCAGATAGAATCTGTTATAACTACCATGCTAAATTTTAGAATTTTGAGAATTTTAATGATGTTCACAAGAAAACTAAGGACTTTGACATCATCCTTATATTGCAGCCCTGTATTCTGAATAACAGAAATAGTCCTTGATTGTCAGAATATATATTTAAGTTAATACTGATTATTAAATTAAGGGGCAATAATATGTAATACACATGTACTGATCTAAAATATACATTAGAAAATCAGAATAACTAAATCCGATATATATAAAGCCAGCAAACCTGAAAAATACTGGCATAGAAATCTATAAAAAAAGAATCTATGATCCTCAATATTGCCTACACCATGTTAAACGAAAGGATAAGACAATTCTTTCCACAAATGGCTATTGTCTATGATGCTTGAGGCCCACAAACAGACACAGAGGAGACACATGATGAGAGCTTGAGAGACACAAGTTCACCATAACTATACAACAACTGCAAATGTATCTAAGTAAGAAATATCAAGGCACTACCTTGAACAAAACACTCTAAAGTGAACCCCTGCTGAAACTGGATGGTAGGTAAAAATCTTATTTTAAAGCAGTGCTTGGATTACAAGAAATTAAGTAAGACAACTTCCAAAGATGTAACAGATACACAACCAAACAAGAAGCTGAACTCAGAGAAGTGGTATCAAAGAAAATATAATGGTGCAGAGGAGGGGAAAGACAACGAGGGCAATACTTAGAGACAAATAACAAATAAAAAAACTAAAACTGAGAGAGACTGAAAAGAGAATTTGTGAACTGAAAGATAAATCTAAAGGAGTTAACCAGAACTATTAGGATAAAAGATTAAAAGAGAGAAAATTTGAAACAGAGGTTAAGAAGCATAAAAGTATAAGGTTGAAAATATGGGCACTTAGAGACCTAGAAAATTTTAACAGACTGAAGAAGAAATACTTGAAGAATTCATGTTGACAATTTGTCAGAACTGAAAACAGACATAAATACAAAGAAATTATTCTTATCAAGTAGGATATTATAAGAGAAATCAATAATTAGACACAACGAAGCAAACTGTTTCTATCCAAAAACAAAATGATTTCAAAATCAGATAAATTAGGGCACCTGGGTGGCTCATTCGGTTAAGCAAGCCCCTGACTCTTGATTTTGTTTTGGCTGAGGTCATGACCTTGGGGTCATGAGATGGAGCCCCCAGTCAGGGTCCCCACTCAATGGGAGGTTAGCCTGAGATGCTCGTTCCCCTCCTTCTGCCCCTCCCCCAATTCATCGACAATCTTCCTTTCTCCCTCTGTCTCTATCTCTCTCATAAGTATATAATTTTTTTTTTTCCAAAGACCCCATCTATTTATTTAAGAGAAAGAGAGAAAGAGCAAGAGCACACTCAAGCACAAGCAGGGGGAGATCCAGAGGGAGAGAGAAAAGGAGAAGGAGACTCTCTGCATAGCAGGGAACCCAACGTGGAACTCAATTCCAGGCCCCTGGGATCATGACCCGAGCTGGAGGCAGATGCCTAACCAACTGAGCTACCCAGGCACCCCTAAATAAATAAATCTTGAAAAAAAAAAAAAATAACTCATCTGACAGGACCAACAATTAACAAAGAAAATACTGAAGAGCAATAAAAGAAGCTAAGGGAGCAAACCTTGGTTACCCTCAAAAAGTCGAAAGAAAACAATTCCAATCTAAAATTCAGATCCTGGGACACCTGGGTAGCTCAGTGGGTTAAGCCTCTGCCTTCAGCTCAGGTCATGATCTCAGGGTCCTGGGATGGGCTCTCTGCTCAGCAGGGAGCCTGCTTCCCCCTCTCTCTCTGCCTGCTGCTCTGCCTACTTGTGATCTCTCTCTCTCTGTCAAATAAATAAATAAAATCTTTTTAAAAAATAAATAGATAAATAAATAAATAAGATAAAATTCAGATCCTAACAAAACTATCTTGCAACAAAGTGAGCTAATTATTTTTTCATGTGAATGAAAACAAAGACTATTGCCTAAAGCCATTTCTAAAGAAATGTGTGAAACTGTATGCTTGAAAAATTCAGTAAACAAACCAGAAGGCCTGAACATAAAATGAAAAGAAGAAAACCTATAACCATTAAGCAATTTTAAATACCGTTTGCAACATTAATTATAATATCTAAATTACGGTGCTTAAGAATAAGTCAGAATAAATACACCAAAAAACGGCATATAAATCAGAAGAGTGAAGAAAGTTTCAATTCTGGAGCACTTAATGTTGTTCAGGAGAGTAATTAAGATATTAAATTTAATGAAAAATTGCTCAATATCACTGATCAGGGAAATGCTAATCTCAAAACCACAATGGAGATATCACCTCATACCTGTCAAAATGGCTAAAGTCAAAAAAAAAAAAAAAGAAACAAGCAAACAAACAAGTGTTGACAAGGATATGGAGAAAAAGGAGCCCTTGTATGTACACTGTTGATGGGAATGAAAACTGGTTAAGCCACTGTGGAAAACAGAATGGAGATTCCTCAGAAAATTAAAAGCAGAACTACCATATGATCCAGTAATTCCACTCCTGGGTATTTACCCAAACAATGTGAAAATACTAATTCAAAAAGATGCAAGCACTCTATGTTTACTGCAGCATTATTTACAATAGCTAAAATATGGAAGCAGCCCAAGTGTCCACTGATAGATGAACAGATAAAGAAGATGTGGTGTATGGGTGGGCGGGGGGATATTACTCAGCCACGAAAAAGAAGGAAATTTGCTATTTGCAACAAACATGGATGGATCTGGAGGGTATAACAGGGTTATACTTAGTAAACTAAGTCAGAAATAGACAAGTATCATATCATTTCACTCACATGTGGAATTTAATAGAACAAAACAAATGAACAAAGAAAAAAAGAGACAAATCAAAAAACAGACTCTTCACAGAGAACAAACTGATGATTACTAGAGAGGAGGTAGGCGGGGAGATGTGTGAAATAGGTGAAGGGGATTAAGATTATACTTATCACAATGAGCACTGAGTAATATATAAAACTGTTGTATCATTATATTGCATATCTAAAACTAATACAGCATTGTATATCAACTAAAAAATTAAATTTCTTAAAAAGATGATAATAAGTTTAGATTCTGTTTAGGTGTTAAGTCTGGATCAATTTCAAAGATAACTACTGAAAGCATAGTAACAGAATAGGTAACATTTAAAACAGTAAAATGGTGGGAGAAGGGGGTAAAAATTTAAGAGAAAAACACAAAAAGTGAGACAAATAGCAAGCATTAAAGAGTAATAAATATAAATACTAATTAAATTAGTGATGGGAATTTTAAAACACAACTGTATGCTATCTGCCAACACTGAAAATATAAAGACACTAAAAATCTGGAAGTAATACCATGAAAAATAATATACTAGGCAAATTTAATCAAAGGAGGGAAAAAAAAAGAAGAAAAGCATTAATGGAAATGGAAATAGCCCCTGGAAATGCAAAACTTTCAACTTAATAATTGTATACCCAGTACACACATAACAGCACAGCATCAAAAATATATAAAGTGGGCACCTGGGTGGCTCGGTGGGTTAAAGCCTCTGCCTTCAGCTCAGGTAATGATCCCAGGGTCCTGGGATCGAGCCCCACCATCGGGCTCTTTGCTCAGCAGGGAGCCTGCTTCCTCCTCTCTCTCTCTGCCTGCCTCTCTGCCTACTTGCCTACTACTGTCTGTCAAATAAATAAATAAAATCTTTAAAATTAAAAAAAAAATATATATATATATATAAAGTAAAAATTCCTAAAGAAATTGACCAACCCAACAACATAGCAGATTAACCTCATCAACTCAACTAAGAAAATGATATGACCTAATTTAAAAGCTTAATTTAATGAATACATACAAAACACTGTATCCAATTAGAAACATATATTCCTCCTAAACATACATAGAACATTTCCCAAATTGGCCATGTGTTATATCACTGAATATGTTTATAATCTCAAAATGGCAGAATTTCTTAAATGAAACCCAAAGGGCACTAATTATAAAAGTTACAAATTCAGTAACTCAAATTTAGAACTTCTGTTCATCAAAATCTGTCATTAGAGACAAGAAGATACAAACTCCCAAGAAGATATTCACCATATGCACAACACCTAAGAAAAAAGTTATTACTACCTTGAACATATATTAAAGCTTTTATAAGTAAATCCAATATTTAAAAAATGGAAAAAGATATGAAATGCTGTTTCACAAAAAATAAAGACCAGTAAATATAACATGTTGACTTTAGAGTGTCAGAAAAATAAGAATTAAAACCAACAACTAATTTCTTTTCTTATCCACAAAAGTGGCAACCATTTACAGGTTCAATAGTACTAATTACTGACAAGGACGTGGAGAAACGAACTCCTATACTTCTGTGGTAGGAGCTTTATACTAATAA